TCTATTTCACAAAATAATCTGTTGTCAAATTATTTTTAAAAAATATTAGAGGTTTCAGGGTTTCAAATGAACACTTTATTTTGTCCAAACTAATATTCATGGGAATAAAAATGCTAGAAAGTTAATTTTCGTGTTCCGTTACATGTGTGAGCCACTGTAGTACATATATTTACATGTATTCGAAACGAATCACTGGATGTTGAGATATTACCATTATACCGAATTAATTTTTGATGATGTTAAAAAATTGAATCAGCTACTTTAGGACGCAATATTTTGATGTCCAATGAACAGATTTTAGCGAAAATACTACATTTCGATTCAGCTAGTCGAGACGAATCAAATGGTAGCATTTTCGCTCAAATCGGGTCACTGAACGTTAAGAATAAGATTATTGTTATATTGTGACTGATTATATTTGTGTCGTGGAAGTTTCAATCTATGAAAGACATAGCAATAGATGATCAATGTTTGTGTTGTTCTTTGTGTTAGGAATATCTTCGGGTGTTATAGACGATATCGATATATGAAAGGTTAGAGATGGTGGATATTTTTATGGGTTACTGAACTACATGTACTTGTATGTGAATTTAAGGATCTAAATGATTTTGTTCATATAACAAGAACAAGGGCAATCCAATTTTATTTATAGTCCCAGTTTAACAAAATGTCATTTAATCACATGAATGATTATACATTATTCATAATCTCATTGTTCACTAAAACATCTATGCTAAAATTGTCTTTTGAATATGCTATTAATTTATTATGTACTTTCTAAATATATCAAAAAGAAAATTGAAATAAAGTTGAATATGAATATATAATTAATGAATAAAATTTATTACATATTATGAAATTATTTCTTAATACATAAAATTATCTAGAAAAATAACTTTCCTCGTCTACAAACTTGCTCAAACTGATCGTCGAATAATTCGACAACAACATTTTCAAAAACCCCATCACTCCATTCGCCACCACCACAAGAAACACCAATTCTGTTTCCAAAGGAATCTCTGGAATTGACATTCTCTCGTATCCATGGAATCCCGCTAACAAATATTCGCATAACCGTGTATATTTTTTCCAAATATGCATCGTCATTAGTCGATAAAAATGCATTTACTTTACCCTCAATATTATGATCTGTATTTTTGCTATTACTATCTTTGACCTGATTATAATTTTGGTCTACTCGATTGATAGATATTTCTTTTCCATCACTGATTATAGGCTCAGACTTTATGACCATTGGAAGATCGTCTTTTTCTTTTTCTTTAGCTTTTTGTCGTCGTCGATAAAATATAATCTCAAATATTTGCGAATCCACACTCAATCCTACTGATCCATTTCCATTCTCAATCAGACTTTCCTTTACAATTGGTCGTAATTCCAATTTTTCCACACCAGCTTCATTAATTTTCCCTTGATTCAAATTCCCAAAACTCGATTCATTCACAATTGCTTGGAAACGATCTTGTATCCAATTTTGTAGATGTTGGAAATTTTTAAATCCAGTTTCAATTGGGAAGTTCAAATTTCCGTTTTGCATGTTAACGTCGTTCTGTTGACAGACATCTCGTATCGAATTAAGAGCAGTAGGAATAGTAGTGGCATTCAAAATTGGAGCAATTCCAGGACCCAATAATGATTTGATTGCACGCGGGTTATAGTTAAATATAATATTTGCCTTCTTGTAAGGAACAAAAAAATTCGATTCTATATTATTGGGAGGGTTTATAAAAAGGGGAAAGGATAAAAAGAAACCAAGGATATATGTCGGGAAACACTTTAGTTACCTTGAATTATGAGGAAAAAAGAACAGAAAAAATATGAGCCAACAGATAATGATTTATTTTTATTTCCATCTTTATTTCACATTTTTTTCATAGTACGTATTTATTACATAATTGATAAATGATACAAGCTACAAACCTTTTATTGAAACTTTAGGTGTCGTTGATATCCTTTGTCGATGAAGACTTCGAGAATGCTGTGGTAATGGATATGGACTATAATTATTTGGATGTGACAATGATCCATGATGACTACTATTACCACTATTAAAACTACGCATTATATGAGATGAAGTCGGTGATGACGGAGAAGAATTAGAAATTTTAATTGTAGGATGATGATCATTATCATTATTGTTATTGTTATTCATTATTGTTGTTGTATTATCGTTATCATCTGTTGATCGTATTGTGTTTGGTATCAATTCTGATGGAGAAGGCGACAAAAGATAATAACTGTCAGTAGTAACTGGTGTATTTTGTGGTGTAACGGTAATGGGGTTTTCCATAATTAGTTTAAGCATTGCCGCGTCATCATCCGCGAGTAAATAGGGGAATTGTTGATTCTTATTTTGCGTGGCAAATGAATTAATAAAGAATGGCGCATTGTTTGATGATGTTTGTAATTGCTGTTGCTGTAATTGTTGTTGAATCTGAAATAACATTTTCTGTATATGCTCGTATCGTTGCCTTCCTGCATTTTCAACTTGTTCCACTTTCTCATGTAAAGATTTAATTAATGCTAATTCCTCGGATCGATCCTCCATAATTTCTTCATTATATAAATTAAAATGTTCATTTTCTAAATCATTTTCCGATTTAATTAATTCAACGTGATGTTGAGAGTATTGATCATTTTCTTGTAATTGGGAAAATGTTGGAGAGGATAATGAAGATGGCGAAGATTGATTGAGAAAGGGTGGGGAATAAGAAGTGTACAAACATCGATTTTTCGATTTTATACAAGCAGAGCATGAAGGAGTCTTACGATCACATTTGACTTTACGTTTCTTGCATGAAGAACAAGATCGATTTGGATTACCGAGAGCTGACGTATTCATAGGTGATAAGGGTGGCGATGGAACAAATAGTCTGTTTATATTGGGATTATTCACTAAATGAATATTAGGTGAAGAAATTGTTGATTGAGGTGATTGTTGAGTTGTAAAATTATGGAAATGTTGATTTGGTTGAGTTGGCTGTATAAATGTTGAATCAGCAGGTGGCGTGATATCTTCGTTGTTATTTGTCAAGACTTGTGATTGTGGCTCGTGAATATTATTATTAATTGAAACAATTTCACTTGTCGGTGCAAAATACATCATACTATCAAATGTTTTCCTTTGAATTTTCAAAATGATTGAACAAGGGTTTTTTATATTTGTTTTTTCGAGTTATGATTCCGAATTAGGAATTCGTAAACTATTTTATATAATTTGAGTTAGGTTGATTCTTTTAGTTGAAGATTTTATCTAGCTATTTTTCGGCCGCAGATATAAACTGGGGATTTATTTATTATACTGAATGGGTATTGAATACGAGATTCGAAAATTAGATTTTATGCAATTTTTTTTTGTTTGTTATCTCAACTTCTATATATATGTACTTGAAGCATTAATAATATATATATATATATATATACATGTATTTAAAGATGCATATCGTCATATACATGAACATATAAATCGATAACCGAATATATGCTACGATCATCTAGTATTATCTCGAAAATTTACAGTTACATGTATGATGTCATTATTATTATTAACAACATACAATTTTTTCTGTACATGTACAATGTATACTGTTATATGACGATACTGCGCTTAAATATACAATGCTGCGGATTTGCTATTATACTTATTATATTGTGATATATTTCAACTTACAATTAAATTTCCCGCCATTTTTTCTTTTTTCTAATAACAATTTTCTATGAATATATTTAATCTCCCTATCGTATTCTTATACCAAATTTTTTTTTTGCGTCCGTGCTTTTCTTTAAGGAGAAGGGAATTTATTTATTCGATTGAAGTTAGTCTTAGTATTAGGTAATACTTTCATAATTCAGATTAGTCATTTACATGTAATGTTTATATGGGTGTGTTCTGGGTATTTAGACCAAGTTTTGAGTTGGAAACTGGTTTTTTGGGACATGCTAAAACCATTACAACTTTTCGATGTTAATGATGCAAGTATTACGTGAAATCCCTTTCCCAATATGGAGTTGTAGAGACATTTAAAGTTGCAGTAATGAAACTTTGTCGTCGGAAACAATGACAAAAAATACACTCCGAATATGAGACTTGCGTTACATATTTACTAGCCACAAATTGTGGCGTCTTTTTCCAGCCACATTATCAGCCATACAACTAGCCACAACAAACATTCACATATACAATAAGAAATGGAAATCTACACCACCAGCCGGTTTTAAGCATACCTCATAAGGTGATGTGGAATTCGGAATAAGTAAATGTCTCGAGAATGGAAAACTTGGCATATCCAATTAAATGAGATAAGATGGCAAAAGTGGTGAATTCATTAAACAGACGATTGGTGGCGTGTTGCATGACATGTCCTTTTTTATTCCGTCAATTGTGTCGCAAAAACATTGGTTGATTATCATTTAATAATGCAAATGCCAAAATGGCAAAATGGCAAAAGCCATATCAATAACCAAATAAATTGTGTGTTTCAAATTCTATAACTTCTTAATTAGGAAATTTGGGGTCTTGTCATTTCAACGCACGATTGGTTATCGGGAATTGTGAAATTATTTAGGCTCGCTTTATGTACATAACAAAGACATTTTTCTCTAGTGTTAAATTCAATAAATTTAAAACAGCTTTAAGAAATGCATGATTCACTTAGCGTTAGCATTATTTTGCGCAGTTATTAAAGCCGCGTAACCATCATTTAATTCCAGTAATTCTCTAAATTTAATATTCGGAAAAAATGTTCTACAAAGTCAAAGTTCTCTATAACGAAGTCCATGGGCCTTCAGTAGATTAGATAAGATGGCAAAAGTGGTGAGTTCATTAAACGGGTGATTAGTGGTGTGTTGTGTCTTTTTGAGTGGAATTGGCTAAATCGTTACCGGAATGGATATTTATATTTCCGTTGGTTATGTAAGCATTATTTAGCATTTAATAATGTGATCAATTACGTCAGAATGGCAAAAATCATTATACATGTATATCGATATTATCGTTATAAATCGGTTGTTTTATAGCAATCGCCCCATTTAATGATCATGATCGAGCAATCATAACTACGGATTAGAATTATTTCCTAGCTAAGCAGTCATAGAATTTTAAACCATACGATTGGTTATAAGCGCATGAATTTATTTGCGAACAACTATTAATTATTAAGTTGATTTTATTCAAAATCATTTAGGTATCCCTAAAATCAATAACCCATCGAGAAATTGCTATGATGAATATAATATAATCATTATGTTTCTCGGAATTTGTGAAATTGCGTTGAAAATTTCGTTTACTAGTGAAAAGAATAAATTCATAAGTTGGACACAGCACAATAAAAAGACATTATGCTCTTGTGCTAATCTCCACTAAATTCAATAAATCCAAACGAAATATAACAGTTAAAACAGCTTTAAGAAATGCATGATCCACTTGGCACTGTTCTGCGCAAAGTTATTGAAGCTACGTAGCCATGATCTTTGTTAATTCCAGCAATTCTCTAAACTTTAATATTCGGAAAAAATGTTCAAGTCAATATGATATCTAATTCAAGAGAAAAAGGTTGATACTGTTGCAGGTTAAAAATAAAATAAGGTAGTTACGAGTTATAATCTGAGACAGAAGAGTTTATAAAATAAGTATAAGAGGGATAGCTGTAAATTAAATGATAAAATACGAGAAGATTCAATAAAGTATAATGTAATAAAACAAATTAATCACAAATAAAAATCAGTATATTTTTAAGAAAGGAGAATTGGACAATTGAACATTGTTCAATTGAAGTGGATATTTGTTATAATTTATTGGATGAGTGCAATAAAAACGATGTAAATTGTATCAGAATTTACTATATCATTTACACTGTTTCTATCGCACTTAACCCATATAATTAGAATAACAATACAATTACAATGAAAATACTCTTTCTATCAAAATTTTGACGCTGTTGTATCGCTATTGTAATTATTAAATACAAATAATTAATATATTAGTTTTTAATTAATATGTTGGATCACTAATTAATGTATATAATTAAAGTTATTTTTATTAGAGATTTGAATGTTTCTAATTTTTCAATTTTTTCCAATTTTATACCGCTACGGAGAATCCATGCTCGACGAGTTGTTAATTATTGATGTTCTATACGTTCTATGAAGTGATTATCATCATCACTGCTAATGTGGCCGTTATGAACCTTGTCATTATCTCCCTTGTCCATAGAGAATTTATCTTCATATTTATAAGCAAATGTATCATCATCTTTATGATCTGTGAAAATTATTAGATTAAACGTAGAAAACAGCAATTTTTGATCGGTACACGAAATATGTTTATCTCCGAATAATCTGAAGCTGAATCCTTCTCTGGTGGTGTACTTTCATCATAATTCACTGGGTTTATTTCTCTAAGTTTCATACCGGTTGGTTCTCTTCTCTAAAGGAGGCCATTATATAAAACATGTTCATTGTAAATCATTACTTCCTTCCGTGGCTTTACTTCAATATAAATATTACCTTGTAAACATTAGGTGGAAAATTTTGACGTTCAAGAGTCTTCCGCACTTGCTCCGTTGGTCCAAATTCTATATTAGAATATGCATAACATCCCTGTTTGGCTACTTGGTGAACAGCCCTTCTTCCCCTCAACTGCAATAATAAGTTTAGATAATGAACTTTATGATGTGACAAAGATTTCAATCAATAACTTACCTTTTCCGTTTCTAATGCTAGCATATTCAATTCAGATTCCATTTGTGCTGAAGTAATTTGATCTCTTAAATACCACATTATTTTATTTTCCCTATTATTGGCAATATCCTAAATAAAAAAATCAATAATATTTAAAAGATAAAGTCTAAAGGATTTATTGAGATGTAAGTGGGAAGAAAGTCCACAATAAGCCACGGGCACCACGCCCTCCCCAAGTGGCATTACAGGCAAATGAGTTTAGCTTAAGGGAAGTTTTCTTATTCAGGCGCTACGGGCTGACTCTACGTTTTCATGACCACGTGCAGATTTGACTACCCGTCAGGTTTTGCATACCGGAAAACCTTTCTCAACATACTGTTGCCAGTTTAGTCATGAAGTACGCTGACACCACCTATCGTTTGAATGAAATTTATACTTCCTTCAACTCATTCTGTCAGAAATTTTACCATAGGCAGGGTTTGCTCTCCCGTATATTTGGCTCAGGCGTCTTAGCTCCTCTGATAGGGCTGTATGTGAAAGTCGTTTGGTAATTGATGCTGGATTTGATTATTTAATGATCCAATAAATATCCCAGTTGTTTACGCGTTCCCGGTTGTTGGGATCTTGGTTCCAGTAATCTGAATGGCAAAAGTTTATACTTTCAGTTCTCTGACTAATAAAATGAGAGTAGGTGCAGGATAGCAGACTCACCTGGGTATTTTAACTTTGAGCAATCCTCTTTTGACATATACTCCATATCCGAAAAAGAAACCAAGAACTGAAAAAATTGTGCATGAAGGGTTGCACAAATTGATCAGGGATAAGGCATTACACGAATCCACCAGGGCGACCCCCAAAAGTTCGGGCCACGTGATAATTTTTTGTTTATATCAGCGATGATAACCAATTAAATTACAAGATCAACGTGTAACAAAATAAACAAAACAAAGGCATATTTTTGAAAAAAAGCTTGCATCTCAAATCTAGCCTATGAAACTATTTTATAAAAAATAATAAAAAATATTCCTTGCGAAATTTTAATACAAATATATTTTTTGTTTGCCAAATAATCTTGATTCAGATCCAAATCCTAACCCTTTTCGCATCGTTGACATCATCACACCCAAACTACCCGCATCTATTATGGGTAAACTTTATTAATTATTTATTTAATAAGCATAATGCCTTACAATACTACATATAAAAAAAGTGCCAAACTTCGAGAATGGCTCGATCTCGGAATTCTGCTATCACATGACCATTGTATTTTATACTTGCGTATTCTTTCTAACATGAGATGCTACATATTTGATATTATCCGAACTTAAATTTGAAATGGATGTCGCCGAAAACGTTTTAATTCGTTGGATGAATACCATCTGTTGGATTTTATCATCACTAATACGAAAAAATATCATAAATCTTTCTCGCCCTGTATGCTTTAAAAAAATTTCCGGGACAGATGATCCACGTTTTTTATTGTATTATTAATATTAAGGGTAGAATTTTAATTTGGAAAGAGCCTATAAATATTATTCTGACCAACTTTTTCTTTTTTTCTCTATTTCCCAAACCTTTACATCCGGATGATTGGACTCCATCCAATTTTTTGCTTTTTTCGAATGTGTTTTGTTATCAAAGTATAAGTGTATAGTCGGTCCTTCTTTCCTGGACCACCATCCAAATAATTCTAATGAATCAAAACATTCCATTATTTCATCATCTTGCCATTTCATGAGTGTTTCGCCATCAGTTATTTCAAGGATATGGTTTTTTCCCACGGGATCTTGTCCGTACACATATGAAAAGCGTCTGTAAAAGTCATCCAGATGGTAAACAAAGGATTTTTTCTTTAGATCACCGGATATCCCTATATAAATGAAACATTGGCTTAAGGGAATTATGTAACTCAAGCAAAGCAATATTTCATACCTGATGACCAAAACCAGACTTCAATCTTCCAATTACGATCCAGGGCTCGTGTTAATGAAGGATAATAATCACCATCGCCAGCAATTAAAAGAATTACACCAGGATCATTAATATAGATGGAATCTACTATAGAATTTCCAACTTCCATATCGACTTTCTTTTCTTTATTTGCGACACGGTCATAAACAGTCACACTAAAACCTTGATTTTTCATTCTATCCCATAGTGAATCGTTTGGAGGTGGACGAGAGCCAACAATTACCGGATCACTGCCTATTTTTCATCCATTCAGCACCGTTGATAGAAGACGTCCATGATCAATATAGAGCTGGTTAAGTTGGTATGAATTTCTTTGGTAATCAAATATGTCTGCTCTTTCAATACGACCAACAGTATATTTTCCTTCGATAAACAAGTTGGAATTGTCCACAAAAACATATACAAGTCCGGTGTTTGATTTTGGAGTGTTTGCTATATGGAGAAGAATTTAGTAATGGCTTATATAATTGAGAATGCAAACAAAATCTCAAGTACACTTACATTTTTTTAGATCCGTGATGAAATTTGCAAGTCTTGTAGCTGGACCCCCTTTCAAACCATAACTGCGAAACTTCTCTTCTGTTGTCTCAAGAAAGTCGAGACCGGTAACTTCCTCTTGACGCAATATTTCAAAATGTGACTCCGTGAGTTTTAAATCCTTACTTCGCAAATATTCGATTAGCTCCTCGGTTCCATATTTTTTAACTACGTTTGCCATCTCGTGAACGGGCTCTTCGTCAGAGGAAACGCTTGAGGGTGAGAACGATTTTGAAGACATTCTCCTAAAATCTATTCCTGTGTCTAGATTTATAATCAAAGAACCACGGAATCTAAAAGGTTTAAGGGTGGAGTCTGTGTCGATCATTTTCATTATGAAGTGGTTGACTAATTTTTTGTATTACCTGTTCTTATTGACCAATAAAAAATAGTTACATTTATCTTGAATACTTATTGACCAATAAAAAATAGTTACATTTATCTTGAATATCCGATAAAAATAGAATTCACATGATTAGCTACCGACGCTACCGACATTTTTTACCAAGCCGACATTTCATCCAATATCACATTTCACCTGATATCACACATTTCACAGTTAGATTACGGGAAAAGTCAAGTAAATAATAGAAATGAATCATAAGGTGATTCATCACATTTGTAGTTTTCCTTTTTTTTTTTATTAAAAATCAATAGTTCTAATGCGTAAATTATATTGACTATAATCAATAATAATTTATTTATTATTGAATACAAAATCGATTATTCTTTTATATTTCTGGAGTCGTGACTTGCCAGAATATTGCTGTAACCTATATTCAGGATGGTATGTTTTATTTTTTACCACGAGACCAATATAGCCAGTTATGTGTATTTATCTGATCATATGAATCTTCTTATGGAAAATGGTCGTTGAAGTTGGTGAGTATCGCCGAAGTAATATTACCTGACGAACCAGTCCCAGAATAACCATTTCTTGTAATGCATGCTTAATGGACCTGGTTCATCATCACGTGCACCGCCCCTTTTTTTGCCATGGCTAGGGTACTATCGATATGTACGTAGTAATAATGTGACACTATGATTTATACTGAACTGATGAATTTTATAGTAACTTTTGCTTCCAAGATAGGGAAAGAAATCAAAAAGTTCACAAAGAATAACAAAGTAGTTATCGTTATTTTCTTTTTTTTTGAATCTGTTGTAAATTCACACAATAGTTTAGGTCTGCATTTTACGTTTTATAAAAAATATCTCAAATCTAAGAAAATTCATTTATTTCAATATTATGTATTACCGTTACGCATTTTGATGTAAATAACTACTTAACATAGTTCAAAGAAATTGTTTAAAGTGTTAAAGTCACCATTTTAAGCTAAACATACTAAATAACGATCATTGAACGGACTGACGAGAAAGGATCAATGAACGGCACAAACTTGACGCGAATCGAGTTACACAGATGTAAGAACAATGCAGTTACTATCTTTCTTTTCGTTTCCTGGATTGTTGTAGAATCCCGGTTTTTCTAGTCTAACACTGAAACCTTGTCATGATAGGCCTTTAGTTTCTTTCCCGTTAACTATTACTCGAGCAAGAACCCTAACTAATCGTTAATCGGACTCACTTTTGGTAATGTCGCTTTATAAATTGATCTGAAATACTTTTTTGAACTAAGTAGGCATTGGACACTAACGAATACTATTAAGTCTATACACTCTCTCCCAAACCCCTATTGCAGGTAAAAATCTGATCTCGCCTACCCGCAATAATACAATTCTAATTCGTTGAAAAATCCACTATTAATAAAAAAAATTCAAATGATCTCGGGAGGAATCGAGTATTGAAAGTACCAAACCAACAGTAACGAGATCATTAAAGTGATAGTAACTAAGTTTTAATAATGTAATAACGCTACGAATCATCAAAAGTGATAATGATAACGTGTAACACAACCAATTGAGGAGAGCGGTTAAAGCGTAGTCCATCACGTGATATTTATTAAAAAATATTAAAAGGTAATTTTAACGTTAGGTTAGGGTTAGGGTTGGAAAGGAGATCAAAATTATATATTAAATTGCATTCCCGACATTTTTGATTAGTGATCCAAGATAGATTTAAGTATCCTTTTTCCGTATTTTTTCATTTTTTTGTCTTTGCTTCAAATTTGTTTTGCCAGGTTGATTAAAAATTTACGCATCCTCATTGGTTTGTTTTTCGAACAGATTATAGGATGGACTACGCTTTAACTGATCCCCCAATTGAGTGACTGAACATGAGATCGAACTATCAAAAAAGCAATATAGATATATTATTTATATCATTTTTAGGGGATGACTAAAGCGAAGCAGTTCTGTGACTCAAGTAACGCCACACTGATCATCTTGTAATATGAATCATGTGATATAAAGTTATTTATTCTGTAATATGAATCATGTGATATTATAAAGTTTTTATTCTCTTTGCACTTCTTACAGATAGATCTATACATTTTGTCTTTCTCATATTGTCATAAATCAAATTTATTTATTACTTTTCAAATTTTGAATGTCATGAATTATTCTAATACAATGATATTACCTTGTAATATTACAGATCAAATGAGAACATTATTAAAATGTAATTCAGATGATTTTATTTACAATAAAGTATTTGAAAAAGTATAGGTTATGTTTTGTATTGGTTTTTTAATTTTTTCACCAATATTATTTGATGTTGTGATATTTCGAAAGATTATTGTTTGAAAAAAATTATTAGTAGCTTAAGAGCAAGTTCAATTATATAATTTGCATTGTATTAAACTAAAATTGTTACTTTTTTTAGAGAATATCTAAACAAGAATTTTATTATGCAACTCAATTTTTAAATAGTGTTAAAAATAAATCACATAGGAATCTGTAAGATAAAAAATCAAATTTCAATCATTATTCCAATCATCATCACAATCAACTCTACTTCAAATATGATGATCATTATTGTTATTATTATAGTACAAGCAACATAAATATTATTTATTGATGTTATCATCACTATTATTATTAAGGGTGAATTATATTGAACTAACATATTCTTTGATAATAATCATTACAGCAGTGACACAAATAGGAATATTCTTTGAAGATAATATCATTATTATAACTGTTACCACTATTATCATCACAGTAATACAAGCATAAAAATATTCTAATTAGTTTATAAGAATAGTTATTATTATTAATTCTTTAAAATCTTATTATAGTGAACTCAAAAAATTAACATTCTTTACTTTTAACTTGATCAATATATTTTTAATTATTTAAATAATTAATATAATTTTTAAATATTTTTATTAATTATATATATTATTTTTTTATAAGTACTATATACAAGATTATTGAGATTGATAACAAAAAATATGCAGAATCTGAAGATATTATATTTAATTTTGTGTTAAAAAAATATTCATCTATAGAGTGAATAAGGAAATTCTTAAAGAAATTCATAAATTTCTTTATCTAATGCAACAGATATTTATTAAAGAAGCTTGTATAATAATGAATAAAATTGAAAAAGAAAAGAGCATATATGATTTGACTTTGATAAATTGTAATTATTTGTTTTACAATAAGTATTTACTGTTATGTAAACATAATTTTCATAAATATTGTTATTATTTTACTTGGATTTCAAATATATTTTATCTTTTTATATATTTAATATGTGTTTCAAGTCAGATAGAAAAAATAAAATGAATAACTAAAGGTGATGATGTGTATTCATTAAATTATTAGTCAGCTAAAAAGTGACTTAAAAAATCTTCTTATAAATTAATGTATATTTAATAAAATAATTATGATAATGATTTATAGACAAGTAAAATATTATAAATTCAATTTATTAAATCATTTCAATAATATAATATCATAAATTTGTGAGAGGTCAAAATATAAATATAATATTACAAACATATAAGAGATTATCAATATAATATTATAAACATATAAGAGATTATAAATATAATATCACAAATATGTAAGAAGTTATAACAAAACTAAAATAAAACTTTAAAACTTAAATAATAAAATAATAAAAGAAATATTTAAACATTCTAAATGTATTAATTTCAAAAGAGCATTATTATCAAAGGAGTTTATTTTTGAGTCATTAATATTTAGAACTTGATTGACTGACTTTTTCTAAGCTAAAATACATATTTCTTTTATATAAAATTGTTAAATCAAAATTATCAATGATATTCACAAGAAAATCACTTATTCACTCACATTGTCTTGTAATCTAATATAAATATAGATTATTTAATGTAACATAAATAAATAATCTACGTATTATTTGCAAATAATAATATAAATAATAATATAAATATGATATAAATAATAATATAAATAATAATATAAATAATAATATAAATAATATAATACAAGATGTAAATAAAAAGATTTTAACTAATTAAAATATAAACATGTATTCTCAAAATTATCCAATAAGATTAAATGATAATTTTGACTAATAATTAAT